TCGACTTGCGATCAGAGTCACGGAACGGATTAAGTTCGTAAGTAGAGGTACCACTGTAGAAGCCAATCACCATATATCTCCAAACCAGTTAAATTTGGCACAGGCTGGACTTAAATATCACACATAACTATAATGTACTTGGTCTTTGTTGTGAATTATTCAACAATTATTTTTATTTATATATATACACACACACACACACACACACACACACAAAAACATATATATATATATAGGTTAATGTGCTGTATGAAGAACCCAGTCATAAGCAACTAATCTGTTTCCATAAAGGTCCTGTAAAGATATTTATACTAGTGGTACAAGCTCATAAATTGTCATCACTGATAAGCAAGATAATCATTTATAGAATGCTTACATCAATGAACTAGGAAGCCATACAAAGTGAATTTTTTCTGAAATATATGCATTTGTACTATTTAATAGTCATTATTGCAATGATTTCTTATCTGAGGTAATAGGGAGAACATAAATTAGCACTGTTCACAAATCATTCAGTTAATTTGCACAACTGCTGCTCTCTTGTACAAAACATCTATTCTTTAAAGATTACGGTTTCTATATTGAGCAACAGCTCTAATTGTTGCAGATGACCAACACAAAGGATAGACGGAAGAATGGAAACTCTGAAAGATATCAGATTCAAAATTTGAAACAGAGATTCCCTCAGTAAATTGTGGGATTGTCTATAGGAATACTCGTATTGTCTTTTCCAAAACTGCTTCAGCAGTGCAACTGTACAGTCATGTCCAGACGTATTCAAAATTACCTTGCCTACTTACAGATTTTACCTACTTAAATACTCAATAGCCATTTATAAGATTCACATATTACCCTAAGGCTTGACTAGTTTGAATCCAGCTAACATAGTTTTCAGCTATGATTTGTAATTTAAAATGTGTGAATTATGCCTTCTCCTTTACTCCTTAGGTCAGTCATAAAGTATTTTTCTTTCATTAGTGATTTTAACAAATAAAAATAAAAAACAATAGTGAAGATAAAATAACCTATTATTTATCACTATAACAGTGATAAAATGACCTATTAAAAAGAAGAAAAAGATCCATATAATATTAATATACAAGTAGCTCACTTCTTAGACTTTGGACTAACATCAAGTATATTATCTAAAGTAGTAATATAGGTGCATTCATGATCAAAACATATTCTGTAGCAACAACAACCATAACAAGGTTGCAACATCAAAGGATAATGCATGCATCATGTCATCATTGTATAAATAAATACATAATCATGCCATTTGTGCAATTTCTACAGCCGCCCATCTCCATCCAAGTGACTTTGTAAAGATTTCTGACACAGATATGTAACCCACATCATCTGCAAGATGACAACAAGATGCACATGTCACCAGCTCCCCACCTCCACCCTGAATGCCCACGTTCGGTGGGATTTTGTATAAATGAAACTTTGACAGCAGAACTTGCCAAATCGTTCTACATCACAAGCTGCATTTAAGATTCTCTACTTTAAAAGCACTTTACATTTTAATGTAGGAAATTTAGAATGAGGTCCAAAGCACCTTAATTATGAAACTAGTCTTGTGCTTCTTTTAATCCAATGCTATGCAACCACTGGCAATTATTTATGGTGAGCAGGGGAAGTCCTGCCATACATCAACCAACCTATTTTAAATGGATGTATCTTAATATTTGGAAAGGAGGAGAGACTCTCTTTGGAACCATTTGTTCAGCTGCAGCAGATTCCATATAGTCAAAATTGATATACAGCACTACTAAATGCTGCTTTAGAGACAGGCTCACCTCCGTTTTTACCACATTCTTTTCAGGCTTATATAAAATTTGTAAAAGGAAGTGAATTAATTTGTAAAATATTCATTCCTAAAATTATTATATAGTAATGACAGTAATGAGATCTTCATTTTTATTATACTTTACAACACAGGAAGTCCATATGCATTATAATATATAAACATATATATACACACACACACATATATATATACACACACACACACAAAATGACAATATACAAATATAATGCAGCCGATATTAGTCATAAAATAGAACAGATTTTATGCTACCAAACAATCACATTAATACGAGTTCTCATTCACGTTTACTTATTCTTAGCACTACTGTAGTTTATTTGCAGCTACTCTCTGGCATAACAATTGCTTAAATATGTATGAGGCAACTTATTTTTACTATGCAACTGCAAGAATTCTGGTAATCTATATTATCCATCCCATAACCTCTAGGTCATTCCTCTATTTCTTCTGCAAACTGCTAGCAACATCTGAGACAATTAAATTTCCCCTTAAGATGCCAATTTGTTCACTTGAAAGAAAGTGTTCATATGCAATCTGCATCCTCAAAAGTACAATAAAAAATTCATATTCGTTTCTGGAAATAGCTTTCTTAGTCCAAAGGAAAGACTTCATTCTGTTAATCTGTTAAAAGCTGATCAAACAAATGACAAATCTGTTGTCTGATAATAAAAAAGCAGTATACTATTAGGAGCCTTAAAACTTTATACAATATTGTTAAACTGTCTCAAGAGCCATAAAGCAGACTTGGCCCAAACTTCCCTATTTCATATATCAAAGCAAACATCCAATAAAATCTGAGAAATGTTTTTAAAACAGCATTTTTATAGAGACTTCTAAGATTTGTTATAAGACCATAAAGCAAGAAAAAGAAAATCAAACTCACACTTTTCCAAAACTAGGCATTCCTGTACAAGTAATTTGTCAAAAGAAAACACACATTGTTTTAAGTGCAAGAAAGAAATGAATTAATTGAAATTGCACTTGGTTAACAAGAACCTGCCAGAAGTCAATGCCTACAGTTGAAATACAACAGACAATATCAAGAAATGAAAAAAAATATCCACCAAAACATATTGCAATATTTTGTGTTAAAGGAGACTCAGAAGGTTCAGAAAAGTAAATTACTTGGCAGTCAAATTATTTCATGATCTTCCCATAGCCCCTATCCTGGCATTTTAATACTTATTAATGTTGAGGTAACAAATAGACCACCTGTGAGAATATATGATCATTGTCAGGAAAAACTGGTGCCAACTATTTGTTTCAAAAGCAAATGCAATTCTCTTTCAATTGAACAGGCAAAGACGTGCAATTGAACTGCAGTCCCTTTTCTCTACTCGGGCAACTATACTGAGAAATTATATTTCCAAGAATCATTGTCAGAAAGATATCAGGATTCATATCAGAATATAAAAACAATCTATATAGCTACAGTGATATTCAGTGCAAGACAACACACCACCCTTACCCAACCCAACAGAACTATTAACTTGCTAAAATAATTAATTACAGAGAAGCACTACAGAGTTTTTTTATCAGCAGGCAAGATGTATCTAGTTTGGGACTCCTTGCACATTCATTGGAATAACACACTTTATAAGCTATTGTGTAATTTTTTCTGGCAATTTACTTAACATGACATTAAATCGTTCAAATAAATAGCAAAGAGCAGTTGATTGACCTATAAAGAAGCCATTAAAGAACAGATTGTACAGTTACATGAGATGTGAGAAGTACATCCAATATTAGAATCAAAAGATGAATATCTACCCATTAAGATATCAAGTATGTCTGAAACGGGAATAACTCTCAAAGGACTCTTGAAGCAAAAAACTTGGATGAAACCAGTTTTCATCTTCTGGAAAAAAACAGGGTGTAGATATATAATTCTCCTCCTCCTCCCCAAAAAAATCAATTCAAGAAATAATAGGGAACATGCAGCGTAGGTACCATTAACAATCAGAGTTGGAAGTCTCCCAAAGGACATCAAGCTTCAGCTTCTGTTAAAGCAGATAATTTACTACTGCAAATTACTGGAGTTGCAACATTATTATTAGATTTTTATCCTGCATGCGTGCGTATCCATCCATCCATCCATCTCAAGGCAGTGAACATACTTAATACCTCTTCCTAACGCCTATTTTCCCCACAACAGCAACCCTGTCAGGTGGGTTGGGCTGAGACAACGCCTGGCCCAAAGTCACCCAGCCAGCTTTCATGCCTAAGGGAGGTCTAGAACTCAATCTCCTGGTTTCCAGGTTAGCATCTTAATTACTATGCGAAACTGGCTCTAACATCTTTATGAAGCACACTTCCATTTAAAAAACCATAACAAAATCCCCCTGCCCGCATCTTCATGATTCATACTATACAATTTTCTTATCTAGCATCTAATCAAAGTTGCCTTTTTAATTTTAATCCACTAGCTTGTGAAGTACCATCTAAAACAACAGAGAACAGATCTCCTCTATAAAATATGTATTTAATTTAAAACTTTCTATGGCAGTTTCATCTCACTTTTTTGTCTCTTCTCTGTACGATGGAAAGAGCAGAAGGTGGGAGAAAGGAGAAAGGACAACAAGAGTAATGCCACTTACAAATTGTGCCAGGAGAAAAGTGAGCCACAGCACCTGAATCCCCAAGCAGGCCACTGGTCTCCTAATACTGTATGACAGGGTTCTACAACCTCAGCAACTTTAAGAGGGGTGGAGTTCAACTTCCAGAATTCCCCAGCCAGCTGGCTGGGGAATTCTGGGAGTTGAAGTCCACCCCTCTTAAAGTTGTTGAGGTTGAGGAACCCTGCTGTATGAACTTAGCCTATAAAATGACAAACGAAAGGATAAGAAGGGAAAAAGAGTATAATCAGAAAACGTTGCCCTTGGAAGAGGAAAAAAGAGAAAGTGAACATTTCAAAAAATGGTCTCTCATAACTGATACTGAAGCTCCTGGAGATCGTCCATGTTTAAGACTAAAGTGATGATCCAAAATCAGTTAAACCCCGAAGAAGTTTGGAATCCACATAAGAAAGGACACTCAGGAAGATAGTTAGGCAGAGGGAAAGGTCCCCTTGAAATCAAATCATTTCATTGGATGAAAGATGAAAACTGAGAGAGGAGACACTCTGATGCCATCCCTGAAGCCCCTGGGCTGTTAGAAAGGCAAGTGAAGAAGGACCTTGGTGTGGCAAATGACACTGACCATTTTTAAGAAGCGCTTCCATTATATGCTTGTATATTTTGCATGCATTCCAAGATGTGCTTTTGTATTTTTTTTCCCCCTTCTTTTCCTTTCTCTGCCCTTTTTTGGGGGAATTTAATCACGAATATCTTCAAGGTGCATCTTATTCTTTCCACACCTCCCAATCAAGGTAGGAGAATCAACTAGGAAGGCATATTGCTTTCCTATCTTGCTCATGAACTTGGACAAGAAAGTGGACTATGGTTGCAAACCAGATTCCGGGTTAGAAGGGCCTTCTAACCGGGGATCTGGTTTGCAACCATAGTTAGATCTAGGAGAACTCTTTGTACACATTCCTGAAACCCACAGAGAGAGCTTGAAATTTCACCTCCTCCCACCATCAGAAGCAACAGACCTACCGATTTTTCCTGCATGGTTTTGTTGTCATTGTTCCTTTGAGGTGGTTGAATCTCAAAGCTCAAGGATTGTTTTCTAGATTATTGATTCATTGATGATGGGCCACTAAGTTGTTTTCAACTCCTGGAGATCACACAGATTTTCTCCATAATTATATTACTGTAGTTATGTTATATATATTATAACAACCCTAAAAATGTTGGAACGTCAGTCTTAAAAAGACACGTTATGGCTTCGTGGGACGCATATATATTGTTTTAATTTGATGTAAACTGCCCAGAGTCCCCCATTGCGGGGAGATGGGCGGGGATAAGTCTACCAAATAAAATAAATATATAAAACCCCCTAATTAAAATGCCCTTAAGGTAAAAGGGGGGGGGG